CATGATTTGAATTTGGTTATGATTTTCATCCAACTCGTTGTGTGTTTTTATCCCCTTGTTAAAGCTTTGGGATAAAAAAAAAATCATTACTCGTTGGATAAAAATCATATCCAAATACAAATTATGGGAGATCCTATATATAGTTTAAATCAGACTTCTTAGATCTGTGGCACTTTCAGATTGAATACTTTTATATATTTTAAATCAGACTTCTTAGTTCTCTAGTCCATGCTTATAAGGGTTGTGCAATTCGGTAATTGAATAAAATATTTGGAGATAATGAACAGTATTCGAGCTTAAAAGTCCATTAAAAGTTTTTTTTTTGTTTTTTTTTTATTGGCTCTTACATTTTACAAATTAAGATAAAATACATACATGTAACATTGCAGTGAGAATATATAATCAATATTTCAAATAGGCATATAGACTTTAGATTATCTAAAAAATAATTGAAAATGGTTTGGGCTCTAACTTGTAAAAAGAAAAAAAAAATTAACATATAGATCAGTTTTCCAGTTTATCCAATAATTCTTGCCATTCAGTGTAAAAATCTTCTTATTTTCCCTTCGTACAATAAAGAAATTTTTTAACATTTAATTTTTCCTTTAAAATCTTTCGAAAAACCATAACGTTCAAGTTACATTTACAATTATCTTGTGCATTTCTAACAGTATAAACATAGTATTTTGCTAGCAGTAAACAATAATTCAGAACTGTATTATAAGTATTTGTATAAATTCCAAATATAAAACATTTTGACATTAAATATCTTGGATTAAACATAAATTCAAACTATTCCACCAATTCACAAATTTATTCCAAAATTCTTTAGTACTTTCACAAAGATAAAACCTATGTTCTATTGTGTCAATTTCCTTACATGTTTTGCATGATGGTGATTCACTTATACCCATATTATATAATAATTTTCCATGTGCTATAAATCTATGAATTAATTTATAATTAAAAGATTGCAAATAAGTTTCATTATTACATAAAAAAGAAATGGAAAACATATTCTTCATGTCGGATTCTGTTATGTTAATATCAAATATATTTTCCCATTTTTTAATACAAGTTGGTTGCTCAATCAATTGTTCTGTTATGGTCCAGTAATAATTTTTACATTGTATTTTTGAAATTGGGCATTTCTTATCATCTATAGAAAGTGTTAATGTATTTCTATTGAAATCAGGTTTTTGCTTTTCCCTTAAAAATTTTCGCCATTCATATGGTATTGCCATTCTAATAGACATGTAGTCCAAAAAGGATATGTTTATACCATAAAGCAGGACTATTTCTTCATGACTTAAAAAATCTCTATTTTCACCAATAATGTCATTTACAAAAAGTATTCCACATTTATACCATTTTTTCCAGAAGATGGGCGTTTTGTTGATCTTGATTTTATCATTAAACCATAAAATTTCCTTAAATATTTTAGGTTCTACACAAACATTATTATAGGTTCTAAATTCCTTCCAACAATTTAAAATGTCTCTATAAAATGGTGGTATATATATGTGTAAAAAATCTATATAGCATCTTGATTGAAGTAATGTATGTAAATTAATATCTTCAAAATAAGCTTGAAAAATCATGAACCATTTTGGGTGGTGATTATCAGAACAATACATTCTTTTAATCCAATTTAGTCTAAGTGACTTAATATGATTTTCAAAGTTTGGAACTTTAAGTCCACCCTTATTTATTTTTTGACATGCTACAGTTAATTTAACCTTTGGTTTGTCACTATTCCATATAAAAGTTGATATCATTTTATTTACTTCCTTTATAATCTCATTAGAAATTGGTAACACAGTAGCTTGATAAATAATTTTAGGAATTGCTAGTGTTTTTGTTATTAAAATCCTTCCTATCAGAGTTAAATTCCTCATTTTCCAGAGGTTTAGAGTTGCTTTAATTTCATCTAATTTGGAATTGAAATTTTTTACTAAACAGTCATGTTCCCCATGTACACTAAACCAAATTCCAAGTGTAAAGAATAAACCACTTGACCATTTTACAGGTAAGCTGCCTGGTGGATAATTCCTACAGCTACCAATCCAAATGGCCTCTGTTTTATTAAGATTAATCTTTAAGCCAGAGCAATATTTAAAGTTTTGAATGATTCTCATCACTTCAAAGCCTGATTTTTCATCACTTAAGAAACAAGTAGTGTCATCTGCTAGCTGACTGATTTTGAATTCTGTTTCACCAATTCTTATACCGTGAATGTTTTTATTTGATCTAATTGCAATAGCCAATAATTCAACGCATAAGATAAATAAATAGGGTGATAAAGGACATCCTTGTCTAACACCTCGAGTTATCTTGAAAAAGGAGGAGGAATATCCATTATTAATTAAGCAACTTGTTATATCTGAATATAAAATGTGTACCCATTGTCGTAACCCTTTGCCAAATCCAAAAGTTTCTAAAACTTTATCTAAATATAACCATTCAACTGTATCAAAAGCTTTTTCAAAATCTACTAACAAAATAAGTCCAGGGATATTTTTTATACTTGTGTGATTAATAAGATCTGCAATAGTTCTTATATTTTCTCCTATGTATCTATTTTCAATGTAACCTGTTTGATCAGCATCAACTATGTTAGGCAGTAGTTTTTTAATTCTACTTGCGAGAACTTTAGCTAATATTTTATAATCAAAATTCAGTAATGATATTGGTCTCCAATTCTTTAATAAAGTTCTATCTTTATCTTTTTTTGGCACGAGAGTAATTATTCCCTTTCTTTGATCTGGAGAGAGAGATAATTGTTGATAGCTTTCATTTAGACTGTTTATTACCAGATCTACTATTTCAGGCCAAAAGTACTTATAGAATTCAAACTGAAGTCCATCACTTCCTGGAGATTTATTTGGTTTAAATTCTTTTAAGACATTTTCACATTCATCTTTACTTATTGAACCTTCGCATGTTAGAGAATCTTCTTTAGTAAGTTTTGGAATATTTTTACCATTCACAAAGTGACTGATGTGTTTTTGATAATTATCTTTTTCCAAGTTAGTCGAATAAAGATTTTCAAAGAAACTTTCCTCTTCCTTGAGAGTTTCATTTTTATCGCAAATAATTTTATCATTAACTACTAACTTATCTATACATTTATTTTTGTAATTTCTTTTTTCTAAAGACAAGAAATATTTTGTAGATTTTTCTCCCTCTTCACACCATTTTGCTTGAGATCTCAATATTATTCCTCTAGTTTTTATGTCTGTTAATACATTTAATTTTTCTTTGATTTCATTTAATAAAACAATATTTTCTTCAGATGGATTTGCCGATAGTATTTCATTTTGTTTATCTAATTCTTTTGATAATGTTTCTTCTTCCTGCCTATTTTTCCTTGCTTTTAATTTTGAATATTTAACAATAAACCCTCTTAGTTCACATTTAATTGTGTCCCATTTTAATTGATGGTTATTTAAATCTATATATTTCTCTTTTAAACAATTGATAAGTTCTTTTGTTTTCAGCACAAACTCTTCATCTCCTAATAATGATGTATTAAATTTCCAAAACCCAGGGCCTCTATTATGATGGGCTTCACCTTTAAGTGTTAAAGATATGACACTATGATCTGTTTTTATAGCAGGTTTTATGTTTGACTTTGCGTGTGGAGCAAGAAAACTTGGAATTATAAAAAAATCTATTCTTGATAGAACTAAAGGATTTTTACATGAATATGTGTAATAATTTTTATCTGGGTTTTGTTCTCTCCATATATCTGATAAATTAAGATCTTCTAAAGCAGCTAAAATATTATCTCTATAGTTAGATTTCCCTTCAGTTGTACCACCTTTTTTATCTAGTGATGGATTTAAAGTAATGTTAAAATCCCCTCCAATGACAAGATTTTCAAAGCTATGTGGTTCTATGAAAGTCAATAATGAATTGAAAAAATCCACCTGGCAATTCGGCTTATCCTTTGTTGGAGCATAAATATTAGTTAAAATAAAGTTGGTTTCTTCTATCAGTAAATTGATTTGTATAATTCTACCTTCATTATCTTGTACTTTTCCTTTAATAATATAATCTATATTATGAGGAAAAAGAATAGCTACTCCCCTACAATTGGATTCACCATGACTGAATTCAATATCAGACCCCCAGTCCTTTATCCACTGATTTTCATTGTCTGAGACTGAATGCGTTTCTTGTAAAAATATGAAACTATTTTTAAAAGAATTTTTTTAACCATGTAAAGATACCAAGTCTCTTCATTTTTGAACCGAGCCCTCTAACATTAAGTGAAATACACGATAACTCAAACGACATCAAAATTGAAAGATTCTACATGGATATTACCAACTGCGATGCTACAATTGTGTGTCAAACTAGAACAATGTGCTACAGAGCCAAATATAACAGGAAAAGAAACATGGAAAAGAAAATGAAAATATTTACAAACAGTAACAAAAAACATACCTTTAAAGGAGTTAGAAGACCGAAAAAAAGCACATGTCTTCCATTCATAGTCTAAGTCGGAAGTTTACTTCCATGTCATAAAAGACAAAGTCCGTATCAAATGGCTAAACAATATCCGGAAAAATGATTCCGGTTAGTTTACGAAAGAAGCTCATTTAAATACATCTGAAAACGCTTAATTAATACAAGATATATACATTGTTAGGGAACAAAAAATATGAATAATTCAGTGTAGCATTATCATCATTACCTAACAAGAACTGCTCTATGAAAAAAAGCGATTTAAACATAAAGCCCGGGGGGGGGGGGGTTAATCTTATATATACACATACATGTGAAAGGGAGGGGAAAATCCCTCACAAAAACACAGATTATAAAGCTCAACTCTATAAAAAGAGAGTTGAAAGTTCTGAACAGTCAATAATTAAATAACATTTTTATTTTACATGTTCGCAGTGATATTGAGTTTTTTTTTTTTAAAGCAATTCAATGTTAACTGCATATATGTTTATTAGAGAATAGGGAGATTATACACATCGTATTCACACTCACTGACTGGTGTGTCTGAGAACTACGTCAGCCAGCAGATTTTCCAAGATTTCAAATCGTCGACCGCCGATGTGCTTTGCTTGAAATCGCGAGATGACAACTGTCATGTTTTTGATTTGTAAGTTCTGCATCATTTTTACTAGTCGGCGTCCAGCGCCAAACTCGCCATCATCGTTATATCCCTCGTGAATCTGTCCGTTTGAATCTTGAAATCTGTATACGAGAATGTTGTGGTCAGCTTTGGCATGAGATTTATCACATAATGTTTTCTTGTACATGTCGCGCACGTGGTTGTAGCATTCCGTTGTTCCCCCAATCCCCCGGAAGATGTTTCCCCCTTCGTTAGTCTCCAGCTCAGTCACTTTGATCTTCTTCAGTGCTTCTCTTTCTGATTGATCCATTCCAAGGATTTGTTCTGCTTTTGGTTTTTGTACTTTATCTCTATGTACACTTCCATTCGGAAATACGAGTTTTTCTCCGATAATGCGTGTCTTGACGTTAGCTTTCCAGTATTTACTGTTCAGCTCTAATAGTTTCTTTCTGTTTTCTGATATTTCGATTGGAGTTTGTGGTGTAATGAAGAAGGTTGAATTTTGTTGCTCGGAAGAATTCTGGTCCGTTCCCTCTGCTTGTTCTGCTTGTTCTGCACGTTGACTTTTGATATCCCTCTGAGCCTGTAACACTAAGTCCTTATCCGTAAATTTGTTGAGTCTCCCCGTGATGGTTCTTGCCTTTCCTTGTATTTTTGGACCGTTTCTGTGAATATTTGCAAAAGATGTTTGTACTTTAAAATGCCTCTTGATAAGTTCTGGGATTTTGACGAAAAGATCCTCGTCATCTTCTTCAGGGAGATTATGAATCAAAATATTTTGTTTCATAGATCTCGATTTGAGATCGATTATATCATTTTGATTTTTAATTACTGTTCTCTCTAGATTGATCACGATGCATTTTAGCATGTTGACATCTTCTTTTAGGGACCTGTTCTCTTGTCTCAGTTGCTGAAGTTCATCGTCTCCATCTGCTTGTTGCTGTGCGATTTGTTTGATTCTGTGATCGAACCCATCTTGTTCCCACAAGTCCTTCTTGATCTCGCTTATTTCCTCGGTAAGATTTCTGATTGTCCTGAGTGAATCCGTTATTTCCCCGAGGCTAGCTTGAAGACTAGGTAGTGAATGCACAGCGCTGACCAACTCAGGTGTGAATGGGTTACCTGTAATGCTAGGTACCGAGAAAGTATGTCCCTCTAGCAGTGATTTCTGCTCAGTGCGACTCCTGTTTCTATTCATGTTTGTACGGATATCAAAATATCAAAGTTTTGCAAATTTTAAGCTTCGAAAAAACAGAATTCAACAATCTTCACTACTTACTCCATGAAATACACACTTTACGTTCACATTAAATACACATATTGGAAGATATATAACTTTTTTTCGGTCCAAAGCGGGAGCTCAGAAAACCATGACCGGCCTTAGCTCTGTCACGTGACGTGTAACAAGGCCATCCGTGGCACTTTCAGATTGAATACTTTTATATATTTTAAATCAGACTTCTTAGTTCTCTAGTCCATGCTTATAAGGGTTGTGCAATTCGGTAATTGAATAAAATATTTGGAGATAATGAACAGTATTCGAGCTTAAAAGTCCATTAAAAGTTACAAAATTATATCAGAGCAAACACTGACCTCCAAAACATCAGGAGTGAGATCAGGTGACATGGAATAATAAGCATTCCCTGCCAACCGGCCACACCCGGCATCTGCTCGGCTTCGCCTCGGTCAATATGAATATTTTTCTGGTGAATAACAAACCTTATTCAACACCAAAAGAGTCCATAACTGTAAAATATCGGACTGAAGGCTTCAGCAAGTATTTTCTTCTTCTCATAAAAAAAAATATATTTCCTGGAAATTATTTTTATCTACGAATTTTAGGACGCGTTTGATTTAAATCATATTCTTGCACTTTCACAATTTTTAACTTGATCCTTAATTGTATTTATTTTATGTATAAGTTTTGTTTAAGGTATATTATTAAAGATCAAACAGTGTACTGATTGGATATACAACTAACAATCTGTGCAAACAAAAATCTTTATCAAACAATTTGTGAAACAGTTAAGACCCCCTCCCCAGCAATAAGTCTATAAGGCGTCTGTAAGTATAAGTATCTGTCAGTAATTGCTTGAAAAAAATTAACCGGACGAAATCCGTCGACAATACACTGTATAAATAATGGTCTAGCAATCAGAATGAAAAATTTCAGTCATTTCATTTAATGAGATTATATTATCTGATACATAAACACATAATGTAAACTGTGTAAAGTATGTCATTAAAAATATATTAACATGTACTTTATCAAATGCAACCAAAACTTGCATGTTTCATAATAATTTGTGCAAGATTGTTGTATGATTTAAAATTCAATTGTAACTCGTGCTATAAATTTAGACGTGTAATTTTTATGTTAACTGAATAAAAACGATTTTGCACAACAGGTAAAGTTTTATCATTCCTTCCTCATTCCCTTTTTAACAAAAGAAACAGCAATACATTATCACAAATTACAAACAATAAACAAAGCATAATATAAAACAAACCATTATAAAATAAATCAAACAAAGAAAATTAATACACATAATTTGAATTTCAAAACAAGAATGATTTATCGACAAATATAAAACATGTAATTTTCTTCATCAACAAATTGATATACAGGGGTTAAAAGACACATGTCCGTCAAGATGTGAACATAATAGGGAATACTTGAAACTTATTCCCCGTGAACATATAATCTTTATACAATAACCGATAATTGTTGCAAACGAATTCTGATTAATCCAGAAAATATGACTTTTCGTTGTTAACATTACAGTTCGAACTCAAGTGTTGCCCGTATAGGGTTAAGATAAATAAAGCCCTTAATTAGTTACATTCAAAAAAATTATTATTCCCCATCTCACAGAAAAAATCAATTTAAATATTGCAGAAATACCAAGTAATTTCATAAATTTATATCAATAACAGGCTTCATGCCCCCTTCCTGCCCGTAATGAAAAGAGGTTTATGTATCCGCAAAACTTTGCTATCTTAAAACAATACTTTTCATAAGTCACACCTTTAAATAGTAGTAGTACAATAAAAAAGAAAAAGTCCAATGACATTAAAGTATAAGTAAGCTTAATAAATCTAATACAGAAAATACTTTTTATTCGAAAAAAAAAACTTATTTTTGTGTCTAACTGTCAGAAAAAAAATTATTTGTACATTTTATTATTATTATTTTTTTTACTTTTAAGTACAAAATGTCCATCTCGAAAAGTTGATTTACAGTAATTACTAAAATTGAACATCAATTTAAAATAAGTTCAATGTTCACAAGGTTTTTAAAACGCTACAAATCTGTGAACAGAACGTAAAATACAGACCACCAGGAACTTAATGGGTAGAATCAGATTCCACAAGGAAGTAAACATCCCCGTTTGATCCGGCACACTTGCCTTAAGACACATGTATCGATCAGATAGATACAGGGAAGTTTCTTTGTCAAATTAAGAACAAAAAAACTTGGTACATGTATAAAACATATCTGCCAAAATAAGAGACCCGATGAAACTTTATATTTGCTAAAAAATGCCATCATGACGACAATAGGAATATCACACACATCCAAATATGAAAGAGAAGCGGAAGATTCTTTGGTTGCTTCCATTTCAACTTCACTAGGTATGGCAAGTTGGCTATGAATGAAACTATCTATTTGTAATTGATAATACAACTTTGATATATCTGAATATCGGACTGTAGGCTACAGCAAGTCTTCTCTTCTTCATATGGAAACGTTTTTGAAATATATGCGAAAAATTCTATGTGAAAAAAATCATGCTTAATTAAGTTTGCAAGCTATAATTAAGGCTTTGATTAACTTTTGCTCCATATTTCACAAATAATGTGAACGCACTTGGTATTTAAGAAACCATTGAATCCATCTTCAGAATACAAAACCCAGCACCAAATTGTAGTAAAAGTTCAGCGATACTGTCATGGCCATAGAAGTATGATATGTACAATGGACTCTTATTGTCTTTATTGCATAAATTAACGCAAGTATCATTTCTTAATAATAATAATTCAACCGTGCTGTAATGTCCGTTTTCACAGGCTATGAAAAGTGGATTAGTTCCCTCGTTGTCACATAAATTGACATCGGCACCTTTGTTCAATAAAAGTTTAACAATGCTGTCATAACCTTTGAGACATGCTAGGTACAATGGAGTGCAGTGACCTTTATTGCATAAATTTTACAAGCTGTATAAAGAGGACTGGCTCCATAATTATCACATAAATTGATGTCGACACCGTTTTTCAGTAACAGTTGTGCCGTGCTATCATGTCCATTAAGACAAGCAACTTGAAGAGGACTAGCTCCATTCTTTTTACATAAATTGATGTGGGCACCGTTGTTCAGTAACAGTTGTACCATAATTATCACATAAATTGATGTCGACACCGTTTTTCAGTAACAGTTGTACCGTGCTATCATGTCCATGTTCACAAGCTATATAAAGAGGACTGACTCCATCCTTCGTACATAAATTGATATCGGCACCGTTGTCTAGTAACAATTGTACCGTGCTATCATGTCCATTTACACAAGCAACTTGAAGAGGACTGACTCCATTCTCTTCACATAAATTGATGTCGACACCGTTGTTCAGTAACAGTTGTACTGTGCTTTCATGTCCATTTTGACAAGCTTTATGAAGAGGACTGACTGCAACGGCAGCATATAAATGGATGTCGGCACCGTTGTCCAGAAACAGATGTGCCGTGCTATTATGTCCCTTTTCACAAGATATAAAAAGAGGACTGGCTCCATTCTTCGTATATAAATTGATGTCTGCACCGTTGTTCAGTAACAGTTGTACCGTGCTATCATGTCCATTTTGACAAGCTATCCAAAGAGGACTAGCTCCATCATTTTCACATAAATTGATGTCGGCACCGTTGTTCAGTAACAGTTGTACCGTGCTATCATGTCCATTTTGACAAGCTATCCAAAGAGGACTAACTCCATCATTTTCACATAAATTGATGCCGGCACTATTGGCCAGTAACTGTTGTACCGTGCTATCATGTCCATTTTGACAAGCTATATGAAGAGGACTGGCTCCATTCTTCTGACATAAATTGATGTCGGCACCGTTGTTCAGTAACAGTTGTACCGTGCTATCATGTCCATTTTGACAAGCTACCCAAAGTGGACTGGCTCCATCGGTAGCACATAAATTGATGTCGGCACCGTTGTCCAGTAACAGATGTGCCGTGCTATTATGTCCCTTTTCACAAGCTAAATAAAGAGTACTGGCTCCATTCTTGTTACATAAATTGATGTCTGCACCGTTGTTCAGTAACAGTTGTACCCTGCTATCATGTCCATGTTCACAAGCTATATAAAGAGGACTGACTCCATCCTTCGTACATAAATTGATATCGGCACCGTTGTTCAGTAACAGTTGTACCGTGCTATCATGTCCATTTACACAAGCAACTTGAAGACACTACTAAGTCAGAAACGTACTGACATTCCCATTTTTTACTGATAAACTCAGACATTTACTGACAATGTGCTGTCGTTACTGTAAAACTTAGACAATTACTGACCTTTTTACTGCCGGTGCTGATAAACTTAGAAAAGTGCTGACAATCCTGGTCGGTGCTGAAAAACTTAGACAATTACTGACCTATTTACTGTCCCTGCTGAAAAACTTAGACAAGTGCTGACATTTACTGATAATTACTGTCCCTATTGTTCTCGCTCTCGGGGAGGCTGCAGTGGTGTGAAAATGACTGTGTGTTATACTTTGTATCTAAAAACAGTCTTATTTTAATTTTTGATGAAGAAAAAACCCTGACAATTATTGTTTTTTTTTTAATCTAAATATTATTGTTATCTGCAAAATAATTCAGAATATGAATTGAAATTAACTATGCGTAAATCAAGTTTAAATTTATGTGTTGAATATATCTATCCCTGTTCAATTAAAGAATTAAAATTAATTAATCATCAATTTCATCTATTTATTTCTTTGCAGACAGATATCTGACTTTAATGTAAAGCCCCCCCCCCCCCCCTGTTTTCACGATCGGAAAGTTGTATCAATTTTCTTTTCACAAACAGGACAGATGTCTCTTGTTAAAAAAGGAAATCTTCTAAATATTGAATAATTACTGATAGGTAATTCAGTTTCCTAATGTTCTCGGACATATCTGTACAAGTCATATAAA